GCTTTAGGCACACGTACGCCCTGGAAAAGACATTTCAACATCCAGTCTGCATTTGGACCACCGAGCGCCCAGGCCGAATGTATCGGAAATATGAGTCCGTGTGAATTGAGGAGGATATCGCAACCAAGCTTGGACTGCAGGACCTTGTTCGCATGTCTGTCGAGTCAGTGGAAGTACTCAGAGGGGCGGAATTGACGTACTCGGCGCGCTTAGATTCTTCTGTCGGTACCTCCAGATGGTCGTTCTTGGTGGCAATCCGCAGGAGGTTCTCGAGGGACATCCATTCCGGAGCTGGAGGCTTTGGGGTCGCGCCACATGACATCGTGCTTGGTTAGAGACGTTTCGATACCAAAAAGAGCTTCATGGGAGTAAGAAGGTGAAGGAAAACAAGTGAGCAAACAATTGCGGTCGGGAAACGACCAATGTGGCGCTAAGCAATTACCTAACAGAGAGTTCGAGCAATGTCCTTTCACTGAGTTCTATGCTAACGAGAAAGCGTGCAAAAAGGAGAGGCCTGCCCGAAATCGAGAAATCGAACTTACGGCAGCCAAAAAAAAGAACAAGAAAACCCACGATCGCAGAGTAGCAAACTCAACACAGCCATCCTTGCCATGCAACATTGTCCGAGCCAAGCCGTTACTGATAGGATACTTTGGAATACATGGTAATATATATTTGGGTTGAAATCGTGTCAATAGTCTTAACTAATCGTCCTTAGGATCTCATTAAGAGATAAAACACTCATTCGTATTTCGCAAGTTGCCAATACGCGACACCCTAGCTTCTCCAGTCTACGCACTCTAGGATTACAGTTGCAAGGCCCCTATCTGTAACGATACTGCCGTCAACAACGCCCTTACTGCTCTTGGTACCTACGCCGTCCTTCATAACAAGACGTGGTTCAAGACACGTCGCATGGCGTTCAGTGAACTTCTTCCCAAGGCGCCGTACAATACCGCGACTTGGCTTTGGCTGATCTCCCGGAATTCATCCAAGCTCATCACCTCGCTGGTAAGAAAGCCAGGCTTACTGATTCTGGACGCGGATTTGAAGACGTGAAGATGCGCTCGTCGATGCTTATGGATACAGAGGCGTAGGTCTGCCGACTACGGTCCTGGTTCTCAAGAGCGGTGGTACCAGCTTGTGGATGTTTGCCGCATACGAAGTATCTGGCATGATGGCATTGAAGGGTACAAAAGACGATGTATTCCCATACCCTATTGACAAGTCGACCTTTGATAGCCCGTTTCCAGTGGAGAACCTCCTATCATAAGCATGCAGAGTACATCTGGGTATTGATAAGTGTATGTAGCCGCGAAGTCCAGGATGAAACAGCCCATGTGAGCCACACCCAATGAACCATTTCGGAAGTCATCTCATGTCGCCGTCATGCTCCTCATCACGTCCAGCATCTCATGCGATAGGTAATGTAAGGTAAGACATATAGCATTATATATACAGTCATTACATGCCCAATCGTTGGACTTTTCCCAAGCTCCAAGGGTGATGATGAGCTTCCAAACTCCTCTTCCCGTCATTAACTACATAAATATCCATCTCGCAGTAAACCATGATGTCGATTTACAACATACCAAGAGCGAGTCCAAGAGCACCAATACCCATAGCGGCACCGGCAGTCTTCATGGCAGCAGGGTTGCTGGTCTCGGCAGGGACGGTGTTGGTATCTGTCTCGGTGGTGGTGGCAACGAGGCCGTCGCTACCGGTGGTGACAATGACGGCTACGGAAGTGGTCTGGATGACGGAGGTGACGGAGACGGTGTTGGTGTCAGTGACAGTGTTGGTGTCGACGGCCGTTGTTTGGACTGCGCCAGCGCCTCCTCCAACTACGGTGGTGGTCTGGTATGCGCAGTCGGTGAGGAGACGGTACTGGTCGCTGCCATCGTCGTTGTCGTTGCCGTTGTACTGCCTGACGCAGGACTCGCACTGTGGGATCAATGTGTTTGCGTTGTTGGCTGTGCAGATGCACTGGAGGACGGCGGATGAGTCATCATCTATCGCTTCGTTAGATTCTTGTTGTTCGTTATTAGGTGCGGTACTTACTGCTGTCATTCTTGCAACCGTTAGTGATGGAACCGACTTGTGCGCAGACATCAGTGCACTCCGCGGGGATGTTGTCGAAGTCGAAGTCAGTGTCCTGAGCAGCAGCGAAGGTCGCAAGAGCGGAGATGATGGTGAGCTTTGAGAAGAGCATATTGATTGATTGATTGATCGAAGTTCGACTTTTTGAGAGTGAGTGTAGTGGTTTTGAATCAAGTGGAGATGATGAGAAGGCTGATTGTTGTGATGATGGGCTTTCAACATGTCGAGCATGGCGACTCTTATACCAAATGTACTCCTCCTTCCATCGCCCATCGGACGGTCTCCGACCTGGCTTCTGCAGAGGAATCAGGTACCATGGTGTTACCAGAGCCGTCGTACCCGGGTTCGCTCATGCACTTGATGAGATGGCATGCACCGTCGACCTCTGGCATTGGCTTTGCTGTTTGCTAGACGTTATGATAGCGCCCCAATGGAAAGGGCCGAATGCGAAGTGACATGACACTTATCATTTGCATGTCGTTCTGGTCGAACCTGGAGGCCAGGCACAGTGTTTCTGGATGCCGCCAAGCGATTGAAGCATATGAAGGTTTCGCGGAGCCACGCGATGGACATGGAGACAGCGCAGGCCGACGTCATTGGTGCTTGGCACGGCGAATGTGGATCCACCCGAACAACCGAGCGATCACGGCCGATCATCCGGAGAGCTTGTCGTTTGCTCCAGAACGCGCCGACTTTGCGGAGGAAAAACTGGAGAACGTAGGCTTAGGCCGCATGAAACGTTGTTAGTCCGGCTGTACGGCAAACATCGTCAGTCGGCGGCGAACTTCTTTCTGGTAGCTGTTACCCCTGTATGACGCAAACACGCAAATACTTATGCTTTTGAAGTCAGTATGTCATGGCTTGTTCCAAGCTTCAAATCACGTAGTGTGTCTGGACCTCGCTGTCAAATGGCTTGTCCAGGAACGCAGAGCCTCCCAACATTGAATCTGGTATCTCATTGACGTCGGAGCATCAATGCGTAGCTTAGCATCAGAATTAGAATTTGTTGATGGTGCTTCAACGGAAAGACCGGAGTGGCCATCGAATTGTTTGGCTGTCAATGCATGGAGCTTCCTGAAGTAGGATCTGTCTGGTATCATCTTGGTAAAGCTACGCAGGCCAAGAATGGCTGAACCCACTCGTGATAGGCTGTCGACTAGCATCTTGCCGAGAAAGCGTCTTGTACAACAAGCGTGATACATGGTCCACTGGTTGAAGCTTGAGAGCAACGGATCGTGTCGGCTCAAACGAAAGACTGAGCAGTCTATCAGTGAGTCTGATACCTACGTTTTGTTCATGAATTTCATCAACAACAGATAGTGTAGCATCGGCAACTTTGCCTATACTATACTGCTGTTGACTGCCATAACTGGCTAACATTACGTTGTTTCCTCGGAGGCGAAGTTCGCACTGCGCATAGCTTTACAGCGTCCTCTTGGCAACCCGCGCTACCACAGTTTCTAGGCCGTCAGTAGCTGCATACGCTAGGGGCGTGGCAGGAACATACCGTTATTCTAACTGGCATGACCGGCGACATGGCAAACCAGTAGAGCGGCTCTATACTAGTCACTGCGGGTAGAGCATAGCGTGAGGTTGGACAATGCCGTCAGAGCCGTGTGTAGGTTCGCGGTTGCCGTTGCCGCCTCCAGCAGCGTAAAGATGGAAAGTCGAGGCTCTGAGCTCGTTGCTGTGCTGATCTCAGCAGCCTTCGCCACGTATGAAATAGTCGCTAGCTGCTAAACGACGAACAGTGGGCGCTGTCTAGGAGCTTACATTCGTCCATTTGGAATGTGTTCCAGTAACCCAGAAGAGTGCGCATGCGATACGATGTCGAGGTAACTTGGATTGACAGCAAGCCGCTTCCCAAAGTACCGGTCGGGAACGTAGGCTAAGTATTTTCGTATAAATGAAGAGGAAAGGATGTGTCGGCGACAACGTCCACTGAACATAATTGCGGAAGCTGACCAAAGCCGGGCACATGGATGCCATCGATACAGTTTCTGTGGAGGCGTTAATGTGTTCTTGTGGACTCGCGCTCGAATTTGAAGTCTTTTCGCGAAGGACTTTGGGTGTGTACGTTGGTGGGTTGGTAAGTCGATAACGGTGGTTTGCCAGGGTTCGTCGAGGCGTCAATGTGTGTCCATTCACCACGGAAGATACTATACCCTTTGCATAATTACTTGTAATTCCATCTCTACCTGTGCGCATTAGCGTATTTCCGATCAAATAGCTGTAAATATGCGTTGCTTACGTGTATTATGTGCGACTGCTGGGTGTTCGTTGCATATTTCCTCCAGAAAGGAGGGGTTCACCTGCGCATCGATATGAATTGGATCCTTGGACATTTTGTAGCACAATACAGCGCGGGTAAGGCGCTCATGCCTCGTGACGACAGTCGTTCACTTCGCGGGAAGTTGCTGAGACGTGGCCATCGTGGTAGGTGGTTGTGGATGTTGCTTGAAGTTCAAATGAGTGCAACAGCGTCCAGGTGGTCTGATCTCGAACGGGAATAGCAGATCAGCACTGTCATTATCCCCGGACGCTCCTTCTTGCTTAGTCTGTAGGGGTAACGACATCTGCTCACTCATCACAGGCCCAGGCACGTCTCTCAACTGATAATCTTTCATTCACATTGGCAGTGAAATTATGAAAGAATGTGTTGTATCTACCACCCTTCCTTCACGTACCAGTACTCCCACACAAGCCCAAATGCTCCAACCCAATCGTCACACATTTGTACCATACCCGGGTATCATTGCCACTCAAAGACTGCACACACTACTACTAGGACACGTTCCAGACAGACACGGTGAGAGAAATGCCCGTCTTTTTTCTCACTCATACCAACATGATTCTCAAAAGGACAGATGTGATGTAAACCTTACAACAGCATGTACCCTCTACCTAGCCTGCACGGCCGGAAAGTAGCGGGGTCCGGAGTACCCGTAGAACTGGACGCTCTCAATGTCGATGTTGCCATCGTGTTTCGGGCTCCAGAACTTGAGTAGGACGTGTCTTCCCGAACTGGAGAATGCGTTAGTAAACCGATGGCTCCCTAGGGTGACCAGACCAAACTTACATTGCAGGGTGAAATTTGATCGTGATCTTATTCTTGTTCTTCGCAATGAAGAAGCGCGCATGTGGGGGTATGAGTGGCTCGTCATGGGTTCGTTCGGAAGGTTCAATGCGGCTGGGCGCAGCTACACGAGACGCTCGGATGGGCTCAAGATAGCGCTCTCTCCGCTCGCGCCATTCGCTGTATGTGCTGTAGTCGAGAGCCGGCGCGCGACGCAGCGGACCCAGGCGGGGAATGACTTCATCGTCATCGTCGTCGCTGTCTGGACGCCAACGGCTTTCTCTTCGAAGGCGGTCGGCCATGATGGCAGCACTGGGTACTTCTTCGTTGGAGTCCGAGTCTTCATCCTCGCTGGCAGCAGTAGTGACTGTAAAAGGCGGTGGGGTAGGTGCAGAAATGCCAGCGGGACCGCTGTAAGAGTCATCCGCTGCGTGATCACAATTGTCACCCTCTGCTTCGTCTTCGTGTTCTACCATCTGGCGCATTATCCGCCGACGTTCAGAGTCGGAGCGCAAAGACGATATCCAGTTCGCAGATTCGGCATTCAGCCTTTCACTGCGGAGACGAAGATTCTCGATGCGCTCCTCCATGTCCTCGCGAGGGCCCTGATTTGAGTATTGCCACACCGAAGGATCTTCAAGAGCCTCTCGCAACGACATGTGTTCGTTGGCCTCGTTTGGGGAACTGGGTGTCGGAGACATCAGTGGCGATGGAGTGTCGTAGCGGAGATTGTAGGCTGAGGTTCCGGACAAGAGTTCATCTGCAGACATGGATACAAATACAAGACCTTCTTGAACGCTGGTGTCAGGTTAGCAATGATCAAAGACGAAGCGGAGACACATACGGAGCCGTAAATCCACGGTCCGGTGCTCGAATGACGATCTTCTCCAAGGCGAAGGGGGCTTCTCCGATGTGTTTCAAGAGAAGATTGCACTGGGAGCTCTCGCTGCAGTATACACTCTTGTCGTTCCTTAAGACATTCTGAACCCTGTATAGCCCAGGTGGATTGTCTCTGCGATGCTCACCGCCGTCACAGCTTATGATCTCCATGCGCAGACGCCCAGGCACTACCTGACCCCTATGGCCGTACTTGAAGCACATGTACTCCGTAGCAGCGCTACTGTCATGTTCCAACTTCCTCCGCTTGTGTCTGCGCTCGCTGTTGAGTTGCACGATGGGGCTACGAGAGCGGGGCTGTGTATTCGAGATAGTAAAAGGATTGCTTGTCGGTAGGTCACTCAGTGAGTCAAGAACATCGTTGGTAGCGTCCATATCGGCCAAGCGCTGTTCTCTCGTGCGGGCCTGAGAGCGGCGGAGGTAGCTTTCGCTCGGTACGGCGCGAGGTCGGTTGGGGTTTGCAGTGGGCGGCCTTCGGGCCAGATTGTCCGCAGCGTCGCTGTCACGTGGGGGACCAAATAGGCGGTGCAGCGGGCCTCTTCTGGTTGACGTGCGAGTGCGCACGCGGCGGGCAGGGTCTCTGGGGGATGACGTCGCATCGTAAGCGGAGGGCGTGGGCTCGGCTAGGGAGTGCAGCGCATTTCTGGACGCGCTGGTAGAGGCAGAGCGAGAGACGGTCGGCGGCGAGGTCGAGGCATGGGGAAAGTCAAAGCTGCCCGTCGTGAAGGCCAGTGGGAAGGGCGCAGGCGGTGGGGACGGAGAGGAGGGTGGTCTGGGCATGGGTGACGTCGGCGCTCGCTCCCATTGAGGAGACGAGGTATGGCGAGTAGTTAGGCTCACACGCAGAGGAGAGACTAGCAGTTTACGGTGGGAGGGTAGGAGACGGCACTTGTCGAGGCTGAGGCGACGAACAAGCAACGCATCTTCTAGTCGGTCCCGTGTGGTTGGCACGCGGGGTGCGCACGGGCCACCGCAGAGCCGCACAGGCAGGCTACGAGGTAATGCCGTCACCGCTAGCTGCCTTTACTCGGCCCTCTGCAAGACGCCCGTCCAGCTTGAATTAGCCCATACGCAGCCAGCGTCTTGCTCCGGTCCACCAACTATCTGACTGCCCTGCGTGATTGCGCAGTCAACATCTCGCATACGCGTCTTTACGTCTATATACATACCCGCGCGACGACAAACACCATGGCTGATCTCACCGAGCCGTCCCCGGTACCTCCGCCGGTGACCAATGGCGCGTTGCCTGCTGCATTGCCTGCCGAGGACGCAGCTGGCGAGACAGTCGCCGCCATCGCGGAGGCCGACAAGATATCCGCAGGTAAGCGCGACGCAATGGCAGTCGCAGCAGTGCTAACTCCCGCGCTCAGATGAAATCGCCCTCTACGACCGCCAAATCCGCCTATGGGGCGTCGCGGCGCAAGAGAAGATCCGCACCGCCAACATTCTGCTCGTCTCCATCAAAGCCCTCGCCAACGAGGTCGCCAAGAACCTCGTCCTCGCCGGCATAGGCTCCATCACCCTCGCAGACCACGAAGTCGTAACCGAAGATGATCTGGGCGCGCAATTCTTGATCAGCGACGCCGATGTAGGCAAGAACCGCGCAGAGGCAGCATTGCCTCAGGTGCAAAAGCTCAACCCGCGCGTCACCGTCAAGACCCTCACCACCGACATCCGCAACGAGCAGGATCCCAACTTCTACGCCGCCTACGACATCATCATATGCACCGACATGGACTTCCTCTCCACCTCCGCCCTCAACGCCGGTGCGCGCATAGCACGGAAACCCTTCTACGCGGGCGCATCACACGGCATGTACGGCTACATCTTCGCCGACCTGGTCGAGCACAACTTCGTTATCGAGCGCGAGAAGAGCAATCGCGACACGCAGGTCGGCGCTGAGAGCACAACGAGGAGCATCAAGAGCGTCCAGGTCAAGAAGGAGAACGGAAAGGTGGTTGAGTTGGTCAACAAGCAGGAGCTCTACAGTCCGTTGATGCTGGTCAAGGACAGCCCACTCCCTGCGGATATTGCAAACAACGCCAGGAGGCTGAAGAGGGTCCATCCCTTACTCACCTGTGTACGCGCATTGTGGGAGTACCAGCGCATGGGCCACGGCATCTACCCTTCGCATACACCAACAGATCTTCAGCTCTTCACCACCATTGCGAACCTCAAGCACCAGGAGCTGCTACTTCCTGCAGAGTCTCTCAAAGCCGAAGTCCTCCGCAGCTTCCTTCAGAATCTGGGTAGCGAACTGGCACCCGTCACGGCTTTCCTGGGTGGCCAGCTGGCTCAAGATGTCATCAACGTGCTGGGACAACGTGAACAGCCCATTCAAAACCTCATGCTGTTCGACGGCGAGGACAGCTCAGGACCTGTCTATGCGCTGCATCCTATCTTCCCTGGAACACCGTTACCCATCATGTCGAGCATGCCTGTCAACGCGCCGATTACGATGGTCTGAACTTTGGAAACGGAGATATGAAGCATGGTTTGCCAGACATTGCATTGTGCGGTTGGATAACGGGTCTGCGAGTTGTGGAGGAAAAGTCGTGTGGAAGCATGTGGCGGGCATAGCACTTGATTGAAAGATACCCAAATGAAATCGCTGAGTTGCCAGCGAAAAGCAATACGATCTAATACACTCTCAACACCCACCCATACCCCTCGTTGCCATTGACCCATCTACTGCTTCTTCTTCTCATCCTTAACATCCCCCTTCCCAATGTTCCTAAACAACATCCAGCATAGCCCCACAAACGCGAACAAGACCACACCAACCGTTCCTCCCTCAACCCACCCAGCCATCCTCGTATCAAGCACCGGCACATTGATCCACTCCACCAACCCATCCGATCCAGTCTGATTCCACGCCTTAGGCTCCACATGCATGAACCTAGTCTTGGGTCCAAACAAGCCCTCATATCCCAAATGCAAGCGATCAAACGGATTGGTAGTATGCTGTGCACCCGAATCGGCACGACAAGCCCAAAACACAACAGGCCAAGGGACAGGCAGTCTAGCATGAGACGCCGTCTGAGCAGGCATATACCGCAGATGCAACGGTATGCTGACATTCCAATCCCCCTCCGGCACCTCACCATGCGTCGGCAAGTCCTCCCATACGCTCTCCTCCCCATCACCCAGACTGACCTTGGGATACTCAATCTTCTCCGGTTTAGGTATGGCGAGTTCAAAGAGTGCTGCGGAGCCCCAAGCCGGCACAACCCAGTCTGGGGCTTCGAGATCGGTAGCGCCGGCTAGACTGCGGAGACGCCTCAGGTTCTTGTCTGCGAGGAACAGGGCGTCGGAGAATTGGTATTTGTCGATGAAGAGGTAGGAAGGGAGGGTTAGGTGGGTGTGTAGTTTGCAGGAGCGGTCTGGTGGGGTGAGGTGGGGTGCTGGGAAGGTTAGGGTGAGGGTTGGGTGGAGGCCGGTTGGTTGGTTAAAAGAGGTGCTGTAGGTTAGGGGGTGGAGTTTGGGTGGGGCGGTTGGGTTCTTGGAAGCTTGGAGGAGAGGGTAGTGCCGGGTTGGAGTTTGGAAGCGCGTGGGCTCTGTGAGTCGTTAGTTTCTTACTGTCATGATGATGTGAAGATAGTGTAGTAGGAGTCATACGTACTCGGTTTATCGTCTTGCCCTAGGACTGTCAAGAAACCTCCAAACTGCACATCTTCGGGATCGGCATTTCCCTCCAAACTCAATACCCCAATCTCTACTGTCGCTTCTTTACTTGGCAGCCTGATGGTCTCAGTCCAGCCTTTGTTGCTGGATCCTGCATTGGACGACTCGGCTGTCAGAACAACGCTTCTCGAGATAGTATCGTAGTCCACATCGACATAATCTGACAGAGCAAAGCCATCAATCGCATCCAAACAATAGCTTTTTCCATCTTTTTTGCAAGATTTCTGCTGGAAGAAACTCCTAACTCTGTCGATATCATCCAAGTAGCTGTAGTACTGCGAGGTGGCCGACATTGAGAAGCGTTCTGAGAGGACTGGCATCTTTGTGGAGCTGGATGATGTTGACGAACACTTCAGGTCCGAAGAGATGAGGGAGTGGAGGCTTGAGCATAGTGCATCATCAGGCGTATCTGATAGAGGCGTGAAGAAGATATGCAGACCAGGTGAGACACGTGATGTGAATGGCGGAGTAGATGCGTAAGGCCTGGGAGATGTCCAGCGTAGATGTAGTTCGTGCCATTGCTGAAAGACTTTACTTATCTACGTACCGTTAGGATGAATTCGCTCTTTTGGTGGACATGAGAGTGGGTGCTGTACATACTTCTTCAGGTAGCTCATTCAGCCCGAGTGTGATACGGTGTTCCTTCGCAGCATGGACATTATCCAAAGCAAAGTATGGACCAGATTTGTCTTCGCCGACATCAAGTTGGTCGGGAGTAAAGTCCTCTGGGTTCGTCACCACATAAGTTATTCGCTGTTTCATGATTGTTGTGATGGAGGTTTCGTTCGAGGTCTGTCCACGCGTGATGCTCGCGATGGCATGTGAGTAAAGCGAGCTAGTGCGGAAGCGATACTAGCGTATGTACATCCCTGTAAACGCCTCGGCGGTGCGTCATCGGCATTCACTGGCGCCGCCAGCTTCTAGATTCACAGCCCCAAAGCACAAGGCATCTCCACCGTGTCCTTTCACATGCTTTTGCCACACGGGTGGTACATGAGTTGTCTTAACCATCCCTATTGAGCACACTTCTAATCCACGACCTTGCGACAATATGCATCTCCTCAGCTTCCTCTACCCTGCGCTGCTGGCAGCGAGTGGCGCAGAAGCCCTCCGCTCAGACAAGGTCAAGCTGGCTAAGATTGAAAGCCTCACGCTGCGCAAAGGACAGCAGACCTCCGCGCGACGCGTTGACCCTATCCCCCAGGTACGCATTCATCCTACGCGTCTCCGCCTACCCTTCCGTACAGCCTACTAACATATGATAGCTGAAATGCATCGGCGGTTCCGCACGCGGCCTCTACGAACCCGAGATAATGCGCTGCAAGAACAGCGGCTCTGACTACGACGAAGACTCCATACAATGGACCTGCACCGCCTCGCTCCCCGAAGAATTCAAGCTCGGTTCCACAGACGTCATCTGCGAAGGCTACGATTACCCCGAAGACCCATACATCTTGAAAGGAAGCTGCGGAGTAGAGTACCGTCTTGTCCTCACAGAGAAAGGTCAAGAGAAGTACGGCAAGGGAAGAGGAAGATGGCAGGGCGACGACGACGATGACGACCGACGTGACGGACCGAAAACCATGGGCGAGAGGATTGCAGGCGGGCTATTCTGGATGCTCTTCGGTGGTGTCGTGTTGTGGATGATATACTCTGCGCTCAGAAACCGCGCACAAGGTCCGGATGGCGGCGCAGCAGGAGGCAACAGACCTGGCTGGGGAGGTGGCGGCGGCGGTGGATGGGGAGGAGGCTACAACGACGACAACGACGACCCGCCTCCACCATACTACCCGAACAATCCCAATAACCCCAAGTCAGGCTACGGTGCGACACAACCGGCACAAGGCTGGAGGCCTGGCTTCTGGTCGGGTGCGGCAGGTGGCGCTGCTGCTGGATGGGCTGCGGGCCAGTTTGGCAACAGAGGCAACCGGAACAACCAGACGGGCGGCTGGAGCGCTGGAAACGGAAGTGGCAGTCGCTGGAACAACGGCGGAGAGGGTAGCTCAAGGAGTTCGTCTGGTGATAGTTTCTCCAGCACCAGGCATGAGAGCACTGGGTTTGGAGGAACTTCGCGCAGATGATGTGTTGGTTATTAATTTCTCTATTGGCCTAAGAATGATACCCCCTTTTACGCGTTATGGACATGAATCTATATGACTTGGATACTTCGGGACATTGGTGTACACATATGAATAGGATATGCAGTAGTAAAAATAAACAAACCCAATATCTGATGTATGCCGTGCCGAACACGTCGCAGTTCCGCAATGATCATACCAGCAACTGCACTGGAGATGCCCCATTTGTGCTCCTATGAGCCACTGGGTAACCCAGAAGTCTACATCGCCTTGACATCCTGCAAAACTTTCGGGTTGACACAGATGTAGACAGCAGCGCACCTATTCAGCTTTTTCCCTTGCATGAGGTCCCTCAGCCCCCTTCCCCAGCCCTCCAAGGAATATCATCCTTCCCCACCTTAACGCAAGTCAGCCACCCCACCTTCTGCCCCTCCACATCAAGCAAAGACTCGTTCTTTGCAAGATCCTCCACGTACGCACTCGCTTCCCTCTTCAAGATCGCCAGATCCTCACTCAGACTGGCAACTGCGGAGGGCATGACCTGTTCGAGCATGCGTCGCATATCCTCGTACGGCATGTATCCCTCCACCTTCCATATCTTCCGATAGATTGTGCCGCGCCGGAGAGAGCCCTTGCAATCGTCGTGTAAGTTGGTGAATTCTTGGGCGAGGATGGACCGGAATGTTGAGACGATGAACCAAGTGTCGAATTCAGAGTTGACAAGAAGAGACACTGGGTGACTGCTTGCGCCGCGGCCGACGTGTATAGTGAGTAAGAGCAGGTCGCGCTCTATCTCTGTGCAGCGTTTGTTTAGCTCCTGGCTCTTAGCCGTGATGAGGCGGACGATCTCTTCTGGGAGAGAGGAGCGTGGCGTCGGCCATGGCCAGCTTGGGTGTGCGCCAGACATGTGTATCAGTGCTTCTGTGTAGATTGACTCGTTGTGCAGAGATAGTGAGAGAATGAGCCAGCGTGCGGGATCGTTTTTGATTGCACGCAGAAGCGCATGTCGGTGCTGGAGAAGGGTGGCATTGATCTGTGACCTTAGGTTGGGGAGATTGTCCAAGCAGCCCAGGTCTCCGGCGAGCTTGGTGAGTTGTTCGGAGTGAGTGAGAGAGGCGGCGATATTTGTAGTCGGGATCTTTATGGGGACGTTATAGAATGCGCTGAAGATTTGATTGTAAACATCAATCGTGGCAGTGTGATCTGGAGTGATAGAGAAAGGATTGCTTGAATCGGAATCCTCGTGCTCGGTCTTGATTGCAACGTCGGCAACATGGTAACTTCCGGTATCTGAAATGACTGGCTTTTCTTCGGTGGTTTGCTGTTGTACCAATGCAATCTTACCATCGGCCTCTTCAATAGTGTAGGAGGCCCATGCCGGCCCTATTGTGGGCATCATGATGCTGGAAAGTGATTTTGAAAACCATGAGGAGAACCGCGTGAGAATGCTGCTGTGGAGTTGCCATTGTCTCGGCGGAGTGACAAGTTCCGTCTCGATGAAGATATCGCCCGTCGTGAAGATGGGAAAGGATCCTGTGGTATTATGCAGGGTATTAGGTGCATGCGTCACTGTACCATCATGCGACGGTTCACGGAGTGTCTCTGGGGTTAGACAGCCCGAGGTGATCATCCCGGCATAGTTGGAGACTTCTAGTGGAGAGCTGATTGAATTGTCCTTTGCAGAAGGGATATGGGCCGCATGCGTTGCTGGAAGATGGCCAAGTGAGGGTGGACTTCCAGCATCGCCAGCATGCTGCGAGGAAGACTCAGAAGCCGCAGAAGACAACCCTGACGAATGTGCGGCTGAGTTTGATGGTGAAGTGAGAGGCTTGGAGTCTTCGATGGTCTTTTCTGGTCTTGTATCTTGCGAGCTCGTGGAGTTCGTTACCGAAATTGTCGAAGCACATCGCTTACGCGCTTGCGCGGGTGATTGCGAACGGCTGCGCTTGTCCATTATGATGTCTAGAGAGTGGAAGTGTAGGGCAGTTGAATGAACAATCTTGTGCTGGACGATATGGTCGGTCGATGAGGTAAGAGTTGATACCGGAGATGTATATATAGTTGTAGAAACCGCTCGGCCAAGGTGTCGGACTGGTGGTCATCACGGCAATGAGTCTGCCAGCCGAACGCTATACGCCAGTATACCGCTTACGATTAGCTTTAGTAGTAGTTTGAGAAAGCGGTAGGTGAGCGAGACCGTGTATATTGTGGTGGTCATATGAGGCTGGTCACGATAAGGGTGAGAGACGGCATATACTCCCATGGGTTTATCCAACAGCTTCCAGAAAATATGTTCCTACTTCATGAAGCATACGTATGTGGTGCAATGATAATTCTTGCAGTCAGGTGTGAGGCTGCGAGATTTTATCGCACACCTCATTGTAAGTTGTTCGACGTAAATGTGCACTTTGGTGTCCGCGGCCCATGGACCGATTTGTATCATGATCAACACGTAACGCTTCCTTCATGACTATCGGTAAGAATAGAAGGCGAAACGTATGGCAGTTTATTTGGCGCATATGCATCAAGCTTTGCTGCAGACGCTCATCGTTCTTCGCTCAACGAAGACCCGAGGAGGCTCCTACGGCCTATGCCTACGTTCCAGTAGACAATGAGAATAGGGTCTTCCGCATACTTGAGCAACGGTCTTTGCGCTTGCTAGGAAGAATATATCCAGAGATCCGGTGTTGATTGAGGTCAAGACTTCCTCTTGATGTCCTTGGTGTTATTGAAACACCTTGCCGGACTGATAAGCCGGCATCCGAGGGTCCTAAACGCCACGTAGGTACCAATGCAATAAGCTTCGCTTGAATGCGCCAATAAGCTTTTTCTCCAAAGTTTTCATGCCAGATAAGTTGGCGATCTTTTGGGAATGTGAAAACGACTTTTGTTTGAACGTCGGCAGGACAGTCCAATGCGGAGTGAAAAGTACGATGACGTTTGGAAAAGTGGGGCTTACTGGATGCGAAGAACTGGCGTGAATGTGTTCCTTTGGCGAAGAGATCAGTGCAGAATCCTGCGACGTAAGGTAAGCCGTGTTTGCGTATCGCCAGTGTTTCCAGAGTCGTGATAAACGGATTAGTAGCTCTCAAACGAGGGGCTGAATGTGACGTCACGGTATCGCCCATTCTAGAATTACCTGCCGTTGCCGCGGAGGTCACACGAATTTCACAGCAGGAGCAACCTGATTAATCTGTGATCACAGAAGCCTGGTCGTACCCCGGCTGTTAACCCTCTGCTATGCAAAACTCGTACGATTCCTTTTCAACACACCACAAGTGTCCACTGCTAGCCTAGTGGAGGCTAGCTCGGTCCTCTCGGAGTTATGTCCGCGCCCATGGGGTCGCTGCCAACATCGCTGTCGCAACTTGTGCTTGATGATCTACCGACGCCGACCTCAAGAGCGGACGACGATTACGATCCCAACAGCCTTGCATACGACCTGATCAGGTTCACGCCCGCGCCGACTGTGATCCTAGATGCGTTGCTCTATGTGCGCCATGTCTCCGATTCGTTAGTACAGCCTATGAATAGGATCGTCTAATTCCTGCTATTTGCTGACATCTATCAGTTATGTGACTACCTCAAACGCAAGAGATCGCGTTGATCTTGTAGGCCGACATGCCGATCACATTTTCGACGTCTCCTCCACTATTCCTGCTTTTGCTCCAGCCCATGCGCTAGTAAGCGCTGCATGTCGAACTGGCAACCTCCAGCAATCGAGAGCTGTAACAGATACGGGTCTCGCCTGGCACCTGAGAGCAGTCCCAATTCTGCGCCACGGGATATTGCGCTGCATACAGATGGAATTCTTCGACATCACCGAAGAACATCAGCGACAGCTTGAGTTCAGGGAACGCTCTTATCAGAATGAAACATTCCAATTGCTGGTAGCAACCATCAAGGATTATGCGATCTTTATGCTTGACCCGACAGGGCATGTGGCCACGTGGAATGCAGGAGCTCAGGGTTTTAAGGGGTACACTCCAGCCGAGATCATCGGCAAGCACTTCTCGGCCTTTTATTCCCAAGAAGACCGCGAGAATGATAAGCCATCTAGGGAATTACGAGATGCCCTCCGCGACGGAAGATGTGAAGACGAAGGCTGGCGTTTTCGCAAGGATGGATCCAGGTTCTGGGCGAATGTTGTCATCACGCCGGTGTATAGTAAGCATCTTCTCACGCACTACATATGAGACATATACTAACTTCGTTTGCCTTCATTCAGAGGACGACATCCTCCTCGGCTTCTCTAAGATCACTAGAGATTTGACGGAAAGACGGAAAGCCGAGAAGAGTCTTATCGCCGCCTATGAGGAAGCATCGAAACTCAAATCGGAGTTCTTAGCCAACATGAGCCACGAGATCCGCACGCCTATGCACGGCATGCTGTCCGCTTTAACGCTACTACTGGACACCAAGCTGGACAACAACCAACAAGAGCTAGCAAATATCATCAAAGAGTCTGGGGACGTGCTTCTTCAGCTAATTGACGACTTTCTCGATTTTAGCAAGCTCGCTTCGGGTAGCTTTTCTATCAGTAACGATATTATAAGCGTAAAGGATATCATTCAATCTGTCTTTCGGGCACATCAGACGTGCCAGAGACCCGAAGTCAAGCTCGAGATCGAAATGGACAACAAGCTACCTAGTTCCGCTGAAGGAGACTCTCTACGTTATCGACAAGTTGTACAGAATCTCCTATCTAATGCGACAAAGTTCACGGAGCAAGGCTATGTACGAATAGTTGCGCGACTCTAAAAGGAAGACCAAGAATACTTCACGATTCTGACTGAAGTGATAGACTCAGGCATTGGAGTGCCAGCAAGTGGCTCACAGACCCTATTTACGCCTTTCACTCAGATCGACAACTCCACGACAAAGAGATACAAGGGTACAGGATTGGGCTTGAGTATCTGCAAGTCGCTGGCTGAGCGCATGGGTGGAAGCATTGGCTTTCACCCCAATCCAGAAGGTTCAGGTAGTGTTTTCTGGTTTACCGCCAAGCTCAAAAGATGCAAGCAGCTCAAAGCTTTGGAGGTTCTACAAGAGGGTCTGGCTGGATTGAGCATCCCATCTCCCGTGGTGGCCGACCCGATGGAAACTCTCAAAATCGTCGCTCCTGACAAACGTTTGCTACTTGCGGAAGACAACATCATTAATCGAAAGGTCATGACACGCATGCTTGCTGGCATGGGGTTCAACAATGTGGACACGGCACCGGATGGTAAGGAAGCGGTATCCAAGGCCTCAATCAACAAATATGACCTGATTCTCATGGACGTCAACATGCCTGTTCAAGATGGGCTCAGCGCTACCAAAGAGATTCGAGCAAATGGACTCCACGTTCCGATCGTGGCTATGACAGCAAATGCTCTCAAAGGCCAGGCGGAGTCGTACATTGCAAAAGGGATGACGGGGTACATCGCCAAACCTGTAGACAGAAGTTTGCTTGTCAAACTCTTGCTTGGATGTCTACAGCAAAATTCCACCAGCTGACGCGGCACGTTAACGATAGAGATGATCTCTCAAGGGAGGGAACAAATACAATACGTATCATTCCACACAACACAACTTGTAGCAGCGTCGATGGGCACCACTGGGGGTCGACGCCGCAATAAGACAGTTCACACGAACATTCGGAAGGCAACGACTCCCAACCTAGGAAAAGCCTGAACACCCTAGAGCCTACACCGACGTTAGGCCACCTACCTTGCATCTTTCCGTGTTAATGTGGTCTGCAAACACGTTCAGCCTTTTTCTTGTATAAGATGGGCGTAGGATCATGCCCTCGCCATTCCCGGGATAGTTCACCGGCAGAGGTCTTGGTACACAGAAACTACTATCGCATGGCCGGCAGTCTTGATCTGGCCAATGGCTTCGCGGGTACGTTACCCGACATTTGCCTGCCCTGGAAGCGGACCCACCTGCACACATCAGCACCAAACCGATGTCTATTCGAGTCGCTGGTATTTCCTCAAGACCGGGCAAGGTTTTCGCATCGCTTTCGCACTGATGCGAGCAGGTGCCTTATCCGCATGCACGGCGCTGTTGGGGTGAATGGGGACCCCCTCTTTTGGGCTTCGGCTAGACCATCTTCACCGGCCCCAAGAGAAACTCTGTCACACGAGATACGTTTGTGAAAAGACACTGGTTAAATCGGTATCTATCACGCTCTCTGGGGTCAAGACAGGGCCTTGTCATCTTTTCGGATGTCCTTCCTCCCAATCAACAGTTCCCATTCTCTCACGTTGCTTCAAGGGACTTCACGACTGGACGACCGCCATGCCCCCAGAATCCTCAGCTGATATCACCTGATACTCCGCCTCTTTGCAATATATTTTGTGCTCCAAGCAGTGTCTACTCACTCCTGGTATTTTGGTGGTGGCTAAGCGTAATCGCTAACCCTTGCCGCAGCTAGCCCCACCGTTCACCCCCTACACACTGTCACAATCTTCTTGCAAACAGTGTCCACGATTATCAGAGGGCTATGCATGAGGTTATGATCATAATAAACCGCCAAGAAAGGAAATGCAACCTTCTCGCGTTCAATTTATACCATCGTGAGGACCTAACCCCAATAAGCAGCACAGAATAAGGCTTGGCCCTCGTAACACTCGTCTCGGGATTGCGCACAGCCTGTAGCGAACAACTTGGTCGCAATCTTGCACGCGTTTTATATGCCTACTCCTAGGGCCAGGCATATGCAGGCACACACCCGCTCGAAAAAATGTAGCTCAGCCTTGCTACCACTTTCTCGATATACATCAGCCTGAACCGATGTTACCCTAATGAAGCGGCCCCCAACGTGCCGCTTAAGAATCAATCGAGGGTCGTTCCTTTCGGTGCTACTTCTGCTATTTATGTTGTCTCATTCTGTGCGACGCTTTCTTTGCAGCTCAGTGAAGCAGACATTTGCTTCGTCTCTCATGAATTCGGATACTACTCAACCCAGCATATTTCCTTCTGCCGCAGAGGCTCTTAGACACTTCTGCTATGGAAAACCCCAAACTGACAAAGACTGCTTTGGTCGAAACGCGAGAGGTCATGGATGATAGTCGCTCGACGCGGTCCAATGCGCACCTGCTACCGAAAGTACCGCCATCCCCAGCAATCAGACCGATAGCAGAACGTCAAGACTCTCGAACGTTTCCTGGTTGGAAAGGACGTCGCATTCACATATGGAAATCTCCACTACTCATGGTTCTCTTCCTTCTTTTTGGCCTTGCGATGAGTGTTGCGCACTGCGTCTTTTATCCGAAGCTCAAGGGCCAGATAGTGGGAAAAGCTGATCAGCAAGAGGAGAAGATCAGGTAATGCACTCCGTAGGACTACACTTCGCAAGATTTACTGACTCGCCAGGTTTGGTACTGCATTTGCTTTCCTCGCTCAGATCTGCCTCGGCGCAAGTGTCTGGACTGCATATACCCAGTGGCTCTGGAGGACACTAATGAAGAAGGATATGACGTTCAAGGTATTAAACTCAGCTTTCGGAGCTGATACATCAGTGCTGTCTTTGCTTAACATGGAGATGTGGAAGCGGTTGAAGGTAGGATCGGTAATGGCTTGTCTGGCATGGTAAGTAGTAGACCTTGGCAAACGACCAGTCACTAATGTATCTCAAGGGGCTTGTTAATTCCACCTTTCTTCACGCCTGCGACTTTGTTCATAGTCGAGGGCACCAACGTCGAGAACATCATCGCAGCCATGCCACATCCATCCATCGCAAATGCCAGCGAAGCGCATCGATATACCTACTCGCCGCCCAGTCGGCCCGGTACGACACAGTACTTTGATGACAAGAACCGGATATTTACTGGACCAAGGACCGTTATGAATCTCTTGGCTACTGCTACTTCATCCCTTGGTGCGATACTACCGCTGGATCTGCCGTTCAACAATTCCGCTTACGCCGTCGGTTTCTATGCTCCGGTAATCAGATGCAGCCAGGCCAATGAGACCGAAGAACATGCTATCGACGCTTTCCTGCAAGAGGGAATGGCGGCAGTGGATGGCACACTTATAGAGACGGATAATGCGTACTTCAGCTTCGTGCCAACTCATAATAGCACTGGAGGTCTCACAGCAGTTTCGCATCCTCGTCAACACGTACCTTCGAAACCAATGAACGAGCTTTGGATGACGTTTCTGCGGCCTATCATCAACGACCAAGGCGAGCGGGTCAAATTACGCCAGTACCAGATCTGTCGACCACACAACGCGTCGTACAGTTTGCAGATCTCGCAGTATCATGGGCTGCAGAACGTATCCGGCAAATACGAGGTCGGTGAAACGATCTCGTTTCCAGACGAGGGACCTGATGAGATCTCCAACATGACTCAACATGCGTATACAGCATTCATGTGGGTTATGTGCGACCAACTGGTGGGCAAGCTAGCATGGCTTAAGGACACGAGTATCTCAGACAAGCAAGCGGCAGCTCAGTACGGTGTCATCGACTCGCCTATACAGCGTACTAGTCTACTGGGCTCTGCCGATCTGGATGCATACTTTGAGTTTGACGAAGAGAAGGTGTTGTACAAAGGGCAGAATATGTCAACAGCCTTGAAGCTCAGTGATCAGAGATTACAGGACAAAGCGATGGCGAGAAACCGGACACTGGACGTTCTTATCGAAGAACTAAGTTTCAATCTGACGGTCAGCATGATGCATAACCGGTTACTGACGTAAGTAAACGAGCGCTTCTCGATCGAATCGTGAGCTGATCAATACAGCAACATGGCCAACACAACTGTCCAACTGACTACTGACGTAAATCGCTACGACTACAAAGTCCACGGGCTGTTCATCCCGTATGCCCTCGCCAACGCATTCGCCATTATCTGCGCCATCCTTGGCTTAACATCGTACGTTCGCGATGGCGCCATGCCTGGCAAAAAGATGCAGGACCTCGTGCACGCTGCACGTAATCCCAAGTTCCACAACAGCCCCTCTCTAGGCTCTAGAACAACTAGCTTGGGTGCGAGTGTCGGCCCGGATGGACTGGAGATGAGGATAGCAAGCGAGAGTTTGGGAGAAGGAGGTAGCGATGGAAAAACTAGGTCGTGGCGAAGTATAAGGTGGGAGAGTGATGCGGGGAGAGATGAGAATCGAGAACTTGATTGAGGCGTACTACGCGTCACTTCATCGATTGGTATCATCGTGTACGTCTTTCCCGGTCCACACATTCAGTTCCGTGTCATGTCATGCGCAGAGTTCGTCTACTTGGCAATCTTGTGCTAAAGCGCACTTGCATCAAGACCTGAGCGGACGCTGCGATCCAATCGCAAAAGATACGCAACAAGTTTAGTAAGCCTCCGGCGACCGAGCTTCCTGCCAGCCCCAAGTCTGGCAAATCACAGCGTGGCCTAGATTGAGAGCGGAAGGTCGCGGCAAGCACACATCCCGTGTCGCGTCAGCGCGATGGGCCGTCGCGTCTGCATGCATGTTGCTTAAGCGACTGCGTCCTGCGTGCTTGAAGCAATCTACTCATGCGCATCTAAACAAAGGACTTCTGCCGTAACCTGGTCGCAATAACACACGCTCTGCTATTGAGGAAGGTTTGCTAGTATCTGGGGGTTGACGGCCTTTCGGCGCGATGAATCGTAGTCGATGCAGATGTGGCGACAGCAGTTGTGTTGACCTGCTGCTTGTGGACTTCGTGAGCAGCCATGTGCACGGACAAGTGCGCTATGCCAATGAACTCCGCTGTGTGGATGTCAGCTTATACATAGCCCAAGAGCGTGGCAGGAGATTGCTAATCGGAACTGGTGGCGTTGATATCAACGCTGTACCTATATGTGGCATAGAAGTAGAAGTAGTGTTGACGGTGCGCATGCGGTAGATGGCCAGAGAGGGCGAATAGAAGACGAGGAGGAGCTTTTGATACTCCATCATCGCGTTTGAATACGTTTTTTTTTGAAGTTCAAGACGGCATGGAGAGGCTAAGATCGGAATGAAAGTTTCCTGTATAGATCGTTGGTTCGGAGTAGTCCGTCAGCTTTTCGTCAGATGCGCAAGTGACTTTCCACTACCTCATCCACCAACACATGCACACGAGCCAAGATGAGGTCGTGGGGAGCATTTCCGTTGGTGATGTGAACAATCCAACCAATCCGGTCCTCGGACATGCGACAATGCTGGCGAATGCAAGATCTGATCGCGTATCACATCGTGGAATGCTACGTCTTCTGACCCACGATACGGGCAGCAAGGCATACATCTCAGGCTCGTGGATTCTCAAGATACCTCATCAGGTTATGTGTGGCGGCTTGGAAGCGTATGACCTCAAGACCATCAGTTGGTGGCGGTTGACCGACTGTTGAGAAGCTTGAAGGGGAGTTAGGTCTTACCACCAAGAGCATCATCAACGTACTGTCAGTACAGATGTTCAAGGGAGACAGGCAGTGAAGAAGTATAAGAGACAGGCTCTTCATACCATTATCTTCTCATCATCCAGCTTTCGTCTTCCAATACAGCATCCAGCAACATCCAAAATGCAGCTCATCAACCTCATCGCCCTTGTCACCGCTCTCGCGGCCACGAGCGTCAACGCTCGTCCCAACCCCTCTACCGTCGTCGAGCGTCAGGCTCCCGGTGACGGTGTCGCTATCATCCGCTTCTACGCCGGCATGGGCTGCGAAGAGCCATGGCTCGAGGACAACGTTTTCTTCCAGAATTCTACGTGCACGGACAACTCGTACAAGGCGCCATATGGCAGCTTCAGGGTGTATATCAATGATTTCACCAGAACCAGTATGTGACAGAAATTGGGGGGAACCAGAACCAGGCTAACGTGAGATTGTAGCTCGCTTCTACGTGAACACAGAATGTGGAGGTACTAACTACGTGGATGTCCAGCCAGGAGTGGAGCAATGCTTTTCCGGCCGGGTTGGTTCGTACAAGTCCTTGTAGTCGGGGTATCGAGTGGGGGGCAGATTGCGGCGAATGGTGGGAGGGTGTTCAGTACGGTGTAGGAGAGGTTCGCAGATGAATCTGCTGAGTCGAATGGATTAGGTGTTGGTTCTCCTGTCGCTCATTAACAACTAAAACCGGTTCTCCAAGCCCACTTTCAACATTGTGAAATCTGGCGTCTGATGCTTTGCCATGCAACAGAGACGATCATCATGTTCCGCTGGTCGTAGATGTGTCTATAAATAACGTGGTATTGCCTGTATCCTGTTCGGGTATCTACTCCTTCTCCTGTAAGAAATCCACAACCGCTGGAACGTGTTAGCTAGATCAAATTTGATTCAGGCGATGTCTGCATACCTTTGATGAACTCCTCGGGCTTCTCACTAATGACCCAATGGCCACAGTCTACGTCCACCAATTCAAACCTTGGGAAGAATCGACCAATGATCGGCAGTGTCTCGTCGCTTACGTAGTGGCTCTTGGTGCCTCGGATGAAGAGAGCTCTCTTGCTGAACGAGGCCTCATCGGGGTTGGTGAAGGGGAAGTCGGCCATGTTGTCGAGCGCCTTGGTGAGGATGCCCACAGGTATGCGAAACTTGAGCGGCGCGCCTGGCTCACCCCTCATCAGGTTCGTCAATAGAAATTGGCGAACTGGTAGGTCCTTCGCGTAGGGCTCCATAAGTTTGTCTGCCTCCTTTTGGCTCTTGGGCTGTGACCTCTCGACGTGCTGCATGCCTTCTGCGTACTTTGGGAAGTCGCTTGATAGTGCCGCATCTACTGGCGCATTATCCACTGGTATAATGTTTGCGCAGCAGTCCGGATTCCTCAGCGCCATGGTCATGACTGTCTTCGCGCCCATCGAGTGGCCTATGAGTGTCGCATTTTTCAGCTCGTGCTTCTGGAGGAAGGCTTCTACGTCTTCTGCGAGGGCGGTGTAGTTGTGGACCTTATCGTGGGGAGATTCGCCGTGGTTTCGCGTGTCGATGGCGTATACGGGACGCTTGAGGACGCGTGCGAGTGCACTAGGATATCATGTCAGTCCCAATCCAGCTATGACAGATCGGGACGAGTCCCTACTTTCCAACACCTTGGTTGTTCCTCTTGCTCCCAAATAAGCCATGTACAATCACAATCGGATCTCCGTTGGCCTTGCCCGAGTCATCATGGAGCCGATACGCGAGGTCGACAACTCTCAAATTCGCCGACGCGTGAAATGAGCGCGTCCATGACGGCAAGGGAGTCGCATTCGATAGCCGTACGCGGTTGGCGTGTTTCGGAAGAGTGAAAGCAGCGGAGAAGGGTTGTATGCTTCTCGTCAAGGCGCGCATGTTGAAAGTTTGACGCTCGTGATTTTCGGAAAGCTTCCGAACTTTTTGCTTCGCCAAGCCGAACGTCATGCCGCATCTTGCCGGTCCCTAGCACTTAGCATCTTCTCTTCACTGTCTTCATTTAATGCTACCCGTCCTCCGCCAGCCTACATCGAACGCTATGTGACCAACATTTGTTTAGCATTAGTATCCGCCATGGCTCGAGTCGTGGCACACAGCCAGCTGGAACCCGGGCAGGTTCTAACGCACGAAAAGAAAACGCACGAGATGGGCGCAGGTATCAGAGAATGCGAGAACCACATCAGCAAGACTTGCGAATAAGAAGCCAGTTCTATTGATCATTCTCATCATAGCCTCTTCTCGTAGTCTCATCCCAACGCCAGTCTCCACAGTCACAAAGCGAACGTGTATTCCCATTCCTTAAGGTCACTCATTTCCCACATTGCATTGCATCCTATGAACTTTTCCCATACTCGTCACTCTACGGAAGACCACCTTCTCGAACTAGCAAGTCGGCAGCCCGCCTGTTCGCGTAAGTACATCAGTACGTCTCAATAAGCGTATTCCAGCAACACGATCGCACTTACGCTCGCAGTTTTGCTGAGTCCAGCCACTCCAGATGTAACAGTTCCAGCCCGGAACGTAGTCCCATTTACAATTCCCATTGATGCACTTGCCAGTCTTGGTGCAACGCACGCCGAAGCGGTCGCCCCCTGTTACACCTCGGCGGCGCGTGCCGCTAGTAGGACTGGTGTCGCAACCTTGAGGATCGTTTTTGAGAGCATCGGAATTGAGGTAGCAAACAGTATCGGCTCGGGGCGCAAGGTTGGCGATAGACTCTTTGGATGGATTGGGGAATGTAATCGGCGTTGCGACCACGGCCAGCGGAAGAAGGGCGATGAGAGAGGCGGCGAGCTTCATAGTGGTGGATATTTGTAAACTGTAGAAGTAGATTTGGAGTTCTTTGGATGTTGTTGTTGGGATTTCTTTTGGGCGCGACTTTGGTGTACTTTTATATCCTTCTTCTCTCTACGGGCTCGCATCTGCAAACCGAGATACGATTGAACTTCTGCGTCTTTCTTTGGAAAGTTCCCCCGCATTATCTTTATCCAGATCTTACTTGCGTCAATCTGATATTCTTGATATTGGTTTTCGTCGGTTTCGTCGGTTTCTTCGCATTGCGCACCACAGCGAGGAGGCTTGTACTACACATTAGCTCCCGCAGCTCAGCTGCCAAGTCGGGTATATTAAACCGTCTCTTTACACTACATCGGCAAGTGGGGAAGTCGATTGCGGGTTACACGTTCTATCCAGAGCTCACCCGAGTGCCTCAACAGTTGCGGAGGATGAAGACGTAGGCTTGGTGTAGCTGAGACGGGATGTCAGATGCCAACTGGGAGTCGGGACTAGCAACTCATCGGCGACGTGAAGCCATGGCAACAGCACAGT